CCTTATCCATTCATCAATTGATACTTAGGCTGCTTCTATTTCAGCTATTATAAATAGTGCTGCAGTGAACATGGGACGTATCTGTTTGGCATACTAATTTCATTTCCTTTGGATACATACCCAGTAGTGAGATTGCTGGATCATAAAGTAGTTCTATTTTTACTTCTTGTGTAACATCCATACTGTTTTTTATAATGACTGTACTAATTTACATTCTGATCAATAGTGTATAAGGATTCCCTATTCTTCACCCTCACCAGCACTTGGTATTTATAGTCCTTCTGACTATAAATATGAGGTGATTCTAATTGCATTTCCCTGATGATTTAGCAATGGTGAACATTTTTTCATATACCTCTTTGCCATTTGTATGTTTTCTTTTGAGAAATGTCTATTTAAGTCTATTGCCCATTTTTGATCAGGTTATTCAGGGTTTTTTTTTTTTTCCTATTTGAGTTTTTAGAGCTCCTTAAATATTCTGGATATCAAACCCTTGTCAGAGGTGTAGTTAACAAATATTTTCTCCCACTCCATGAGGGGTCTCTGCCCTAATTGTTTCCTTTGCTGTGCAGAAGCTTTTCTGTTTAAAGTATTCACATTCGTCTATTTTTTTTCTTATGCTTTTGGGTTCTTGTCCAAAAAAAAAAATCTTTGCCCATTCCAATGTCCTAAAGCTTCTCCCCTATGTTTTCTTCTACTAGTTTCATAGTTACAAGTCTTACATTTAAGTATTTTGTCCATTTTGAGATTATTTTGTAACTCTGGCATGCAACTGGGGCCTTCAGTCTCTGTCAGGTGCTGGGTCTCACTGTGGTGGTTCTGACTCTGAACTCTAAGACAAAGTCCTGAGCTAGCTTCCCCTGGCTTCCCTGCCTGCTTCCTAGCAGGTGGAGCCTTCCTGCCACCACTCTTCTACCTGACAGTGAAAGTGGAGCAATCAACCACCTAGCCTGATGCAGTTTCAGCAGCTTAGACCTTGGGTATTGGCCTGGTAGGAGGAATGTTTACCCAGCTCTGAAGTTCACCATGGCAGACCTGGTTCTGGATTTCAAGTCTAAGACCTTAATTCTCTCTCCCTCCCCCAAATGGAGCTATCTCTCTCCCTGGTAGGTTGCTGGGAGCTGGAGGAGGTATGACTTAGGCAACTCTTTCCTTCCTGCCTTCTTCAAGGCATCTGTCCTTTCCGGGCTCTATCTGGTCACTTATCTGATTTCCTTAACTCTTGTGAAGGTTGTTTGATATGTGACCAACTGTTTGACTTGGTGTGCCTATGAGGACACAATAGATGCAGGGTCTTACTCAGCCACCATCTCACTCTACCTCACTCTACCTCCTCACCCCAAAAAATTTTTTTTGGTGATAACGGGGGTTAAACTCAGAGCCTCATTGTTTCCAGGCAGGCACTCTACCACTTGAGCCATGCTGCCAGCCTTTTTGTATTGGTTGTTTTTGAGATAGAGTCTCAAAAACAGGGCCTCAATCCTACTTGTGCTCCTCCACGTAGCTGGGGTGACAGGCACATGTTACCATACCCAGCCAATGGTTGAAATGGGGTCTCCTGAACTTTTTGCCAGGGCTGGTCTCGAACCAAAGTCCTCCTGATCACCACCTTCTCAATAGCTAGTATTACAGGCTTGAGCTACTACTTCCAGTCCAAAACTCTTAAATTAGTATAATCATCTGAAACAGTTTAGCATTTAGATAAGTTAAAGTTATGTATACCTCCGACAGAAATATAACTCCAAGCTACCTTACAAAATGCAAACTCATGTGTACAAAGATAAATGTAATAATGTCCATGCAACACTCTTTGTAACCTCCAGAATAAAAACCCAAATACTTTTCAACAATACTAAATGCTTAAATAGTCACTATACTTCAGTGAAGATCTTATATTTGTTGGATAACAAGTACTCACAAAAAACTCATATAAAACTTTAAAGCAACAAAGAATAAAGCATGATGACCGTCCACACCTGATGGGGAGGCAGCCAGCTGTGACCACCATGGGGCACACGGTGACTGGTTCTGGAAAAGTCCTGTTGTCTTGATCTGAGTGGTATTTACAGTGTTTGCTTTCTGAGAAGTTGCTAGGCTATGGATAAAATTTGCTTTCTTTTTCCAGGCTCAGAGGCTCATACCTGTAATGCTAAAAAAAGTGAAGATTAGGAGGATAGTAGCTCCAGGCCAGCCTGCAAGACCCCATCTCAACAAATGGCTACCTGGACAAATACAAATAGAAGGACTGAGGTCCAGGCCCACTGGGTATAAAGCAAAACCTTGTCTCAAAAATAACCGACACATGTTTTATCTTTCTAGCAAATTGACCTCTTTATTTTCATGGAGTACCTGTCACTATCCCTGGTAATATTAATTGTTCTGAAATCTGACTTGTCTGATATTAATACAGACAATGAATTTTCTTTAGCTTACTGAATGTATGTATCTTTTACACCCTGATGCTATTAACATAACTATATCTTAATAAACTTGGTTTATTTTAAAGAAAAAAATAACCAACAGACAAAGGGCTGGTGGTGTGACTCAAGAGAGAGTATCTGCCTAGCAAGCACAAAGCTCAGTACAACCCCCAGTACCACCAAAAAAAAAAAGATTTGCTTATTTTTCTTTAAGCATATTAAATTTCATCTGTTGTACTTTAAAGGTTTTAAAACAAAAGCCACAAGAAAATAATAAATTTACACATGGAGAAAAACAGTGATGTCATTGTACTCAGAAACTATTTGACTTGTGAATGATGAAGTTCAAAAGTAGACGTGGCTCCTACTGTGACATGCTTATTCATTAATATGTGCAGGATATGAAGTGTACTGCTTCGTTTTGTTTGGTTTTTTTTGGGTTTTGATTTGGGGAGTTTTTGTTTATTTATGTTTATTTTGGTTTGTTTGAATTTTTTGTGAGACAGTTGTTCACTGTGTAACCCAGGCTGGTTTCAAACTTGTGATCATCCTGCCTCAGCCTCCTAAGTAGCTGGGAGTACAGGTGTAACCACCAGGCCCAGCCTGTGTGTTTTTTCTTGAAGGTAAACATAATAATAAGAGTGAGAATTCTAGAAAACTACAGGTAAAGGAAAAAAAATCACCAGAGTAACACCAAAAAGAAAAAGATGGAGTACTTTTTCTTCCTGGCAACATTTCCTAAGACCTCAGGCAGAAGTTGGGAACACTCAACATGGTTTGGAGAAGCACCTGCCGAGAGGTAAGGCCAGTGGCTCATTAATAAGGACACCTGCGAGTGTGAAGGAACGGCTTGTCCCAAACACATCCTGGACTCCAAACACATTTCAAATCAACTATTCCAGAATCGTATCTAGGAGGAAGCCAAAAGGTGTTTAGAAAATGTTAGGTTTGGGCATCTGGTATTCCCCAAAGCAGGATTAAACAACTTAAAGTAAGTGAAGGACTGAGTTTTGAACCAAGCATCAAGAAACCATAGCTTTTGACTCAGTAGAGCTCACACAGTGCTTTCTTTCACCTCTCTGAGCCCTGATTTCTCCCTCTCTGAAAGCCTGGTGTGACATGGCTGAGCCTAGACTCTATGTCTAGAGTAGCAAAGGTCGGGATCAGACCTGAGCTGTATGGGTCCTCAGGTCCAGTGAAGGTCTCTTGGGAGCCTTCCCTGGGAAAGAATCCTTCCTGGTGAAGGATTTCTCAGCAATGACCACTTGGTCCCTTCTAGTGCATAGCCCACTATCTTGGCCCCGTCCCCACTCTAACCCAAAGCAGTGCTCTAACTCTGTAAGCTTTGGTGGGAAGCAGAATAAAACTTTTTCAGCAATATTCTGCCTTTACTAAGAAGCCATTTGGAGAGGGCCTGTGAAGGAGAGAGGAGCACAGGTATAATGATGAAATTTAATAGTATTAATTATGAACACCTAAGGCATAGCAGCCTGAGTGCAAAGCATTTTATAAACTCTATCACATTCCATCCTTGAAAAACCATCTTACAATGTGTTTTTCAAAAAGAGGAAAATGACGCTTAGAGATGCTAAATAATGTTTCTGAGGGCATGTGTCTCAAAGTGGAGCCTAACCAATAAAACTGTACTCCACTGCCACATTACAGACTCAAATTCCAGTGGTCGTGGGCCACTCAGACAGGCCTTCCTCAAGCAGCCAAAAAAAAATCAAAGTGTCTTCTTTACTGTCAGTCACCCATTACTGCCCCAAGAAATACAGACTTAATGATCCATCCCAATAGCTGTGTCTTTAACTCCAAAAAAGCATTGTTCAGCTCTAGCCCTGGCCCTGGGCATCCAACATGCAACACAGTACTGAACAGTTTCTCCTTGTGAGAGACCAGGGAGAGTTCCAGCCCTTCAACTCCAAACTGGGAGCTTCTCCCATATTCCTGAAAGCCCCCACATCCTAGCAGACATTTCATAGCAACCATTTGGAAAACAAAGCCCATCTGAGGAGTTTTCTACAGTACCTGCCTCAAGCCAGGTAAATAAATAGGACACCAGAAGAGGAAGATTCCCTTTACTTTCAGAACACCTACCATCAGTCAGACCCAACTGACATGTTGAGAACCTTTGCCTCTTAAAAATCCTATCCAGTCTTGCCTACATCCTATCCAGTGTTGTATTAAGCCCGTGTTCTGCAACAGTAATTCCCTGGTCTCCTTGGCTGTCTGGGGGACTCTGGAAGAAAGAGGAAAAAATGTAGATATTGTCCCTGAATTTTGAAGAAGTGACAGGGAACATGCTCAGGCCACGGCATGAGGATCCTGGTCTTCTACACTGCTTTGCTGATGGAAAACTTAGCTGAGTCCCTTCAGCTCATGTGGTTTGTAGAAGAGGAGACAGTGTAGGTGGCACAAGGACTCCTCTTCCTCTCATCCTGCAGCAACTGTGACCTCCCCAGTCTGTCCTTCCAGGAAGAGTGAGGCAGTAGCTAGCCCCGCCCAGCCCAGCCCAGCTCTATAAAGAAGCCTCCCAGAGAGTCATCTATGCGTTCCTGCTCTGCACCCTCCACAGCCATGAGCCTGTGTCTTTCTGGTTTACTCTTCTTCCTAATGATACTGCCTTCAGGTAAGATGGTAGGTGTGGGTCCGAACATGAAATGCAGAGTCTCCCAAGACTGAGACCTTCCCAAAAACCCTATGGGTGGAAGCCCAGCAGGAGGTTTGCCAATATGAGATGAAGCAGCAGATTAGGGATGGGAGGTAGGTGGCTGCTCTTCATCAGTTACCTGCTCATCTTTTGCTACATCCTGAATATTTGCCAGATATTGAGAGAGGGAAACCAATTTCATGATGCCCACCTCAGCCATGCAAATTCCTATTGCCCCTCAAACTCCTCTGGATAGACTTAGACTCAGCTGCCACACTGAAATATGACAGAAAGTGAGAAAATGTATCCAGAAGGTGAATCACAAAATAATTAGTCCTCCACCAGCAAGAAAAGATAAGTCTAGAATTGCTTCCAGCCTTCTGAAGACTGATTTTTCTTTTTCCATGTTTTTTTTTCTTTCAGAAAATTATCTCTTCGAGAATAGGGGTGTAGTAGTTCGTACTTGCACTCAACTTGATGGGTTATGTTTCCTGGGTTGTAGACCAGGATGGACATGGATTGCATTCTGTCACAACATATTGTCTTGCTGTAAAAAAATGAAAAAATTCATACCTCCCCAAGCCAATGCTGTATGACCATCACCTCATGAGTCTATAAGGATATGTGAACTTGGAGTGATGGTATGTACCTGAAATTCCAGCATTTAGGAGGCAGAGGAGGGAGAAATGCGAGTTCAAGGCCAGCCTGTGCTACATAGTGAGACCATGCCTCAAAACAAATAAATAAAATTATATGTGAATGATTAAAAGAACTCACAGTCTATTCAAAAAGTCCAAGAGATTGTTAATGAGCTAGGAATAGCAGAGTAGGGGCCAGACTGTGTCCAATTTTCAGGCACAATTCCAGACATACTTTTTAAAGGAGGCATTGTAGTGAGATGCATTTCCTATTCTTTTCTCTGCCTTCTTATCTCCAACCACTAACTGTTGCTTCAAATTCAAAGGCAACTGATTGATCCAGGCCCACAGTATGTCACATTCTGACCATGAAACAATAGTTTGCCATGTGCTAGTTGCCCTGTTAGGTGGTTTACATTTATCAAATGACTTAATCCTGACAACAAAATCTATGACTCCTCCCGTTTTCCAAATGAAGAATCTTTTCCAAGCTCACACAAGTTGTAAGAGTCAGTTAGTTGTGGGTTTGAACCCCTCCGTCTTGATCCAGTCTCCTTCCTTCCTGCTGAGATGAACTACTTCTCAGTTGGTAAGTACAGGAACCGAGGTGACTGTGATTTCAATGAGCAGTGAAGAATCCAACTACATCCCAGGAACAATGACCCCTCAGAACTCCTCCTGTGGCTGAAAGCAGTAATACTATGATTGTCAAGTTGCGACTACCGCTCATTACTCAGAGTTTTTAACAACTTCAAGACCTGTGTCATCCTGAGATCTCACGCACCTAACATTACTGCTCTCGCCAGTGCAGAAGCATTGAACCCAATACACACATTCTAAACACCCAGCTGTCTGCAGGGAACCATTATGCCAGCAGCACTTCCTCACCACCCGGCCCATGTCCCCACCAGCAGCAGAGGTCACAGATCTCCATCAAAACCCTGTCATTCTCTGCAAAGAAATGCCAGCTGAGTCTCAGGAACAACTCTCTCCATGCATATGGCTGGAAGAGTACCCTGAATATCAGAACAGGGAGGCAAACCAGGAAGGACTTGTCCACTCAGAGTGTACTCCCTTACGTTCCAATCCCCAAAATTCCAGCAAAAAAAAAAAGGCAGAGGTCATGATGAGTCCATACAGCTAGCCTCCAAGGGCAGGATGCTATGGCTGGTCCTTCTGATGACATCAGAAGTTCTGTGGTGTCAGGCTACCTATATTTGCTCACTGACGTTTGCTCTCTTATCAAGATGGGGGAGTTCATAAAGTAATATAAGTGATGAAATTAACATAAAAATAGAAAATAAAAGAGAAAAACATATGAAAGGAAAAAAAGCAAAATTCTTTCACCACAATTCACACTTTCTTTTTTTTTTTTAACTTTTCTTTTTTTTTTTTGGTGGGAGTGGTATTTGAACTCAAGGCTTCATGCTTGCAAAGCAGGTACTCTACCTCTTGAGCCAAACCTCCAGTTCAATTCACACTTTCTTACACACAAGAAGGCATTGCTCCAACTTTGACAGTGGGGTACAAAAAGAGACACACAATTCTCTTCAGCAGAATATAGGCAGGACTGAAATATTCAGAATCATTTTTAGGGGCTGAGGGTGTAGCTCAGCATGAGAGCACTTGCCTAGCATTTGAGAGGTCACGGGCTCAATCCCCAGCCCTAAAAGTTATTTTTACTGAGAACTCACACATGAGACAAATAAGAGTACTAAATTTCCACATATAAGAGCCATGATATTTTGGCCTTGTGGTCCCTTTGGGTGCACCCAAAGTAGAGGCCATGGCTGACCCCTCTGAGGACACCAAAGGTGTCTCCACCTCCTAGGGAAGCCCTGAGGAAGACCCATGGCTCAGGCTCAGCAAATCTGACATCTGTCCAAGAAGTCCAACTTGAGTGAATGGTGTCACATGTTGGCGCCATTGGAGTATCAACCTGTTCTAGTCCAGCAGCCTAGCCCTTCAGAGCTCCCATGGTTTGCACTCATATTCTGAGCCTATTCTATGACACCTACATATCACTGTAGACTCCATCTATGCTTAAAATATCCAGTTAGTGTCTGTTACCTGAAGTTATGGAAAAGGAATAACACTGAAAACACTGATACCTTATTGTATATTTGTATTGGGATTAAATGAAGTAAAGTATAAAACACATGTGACACTGTGTCATCTAACTTCAATGTCGTAGCTTTGCATTAACTGGGTCCCAAGATGTAAAAATTTTTGCCTAAGGCCAAATGAATTAAAAATAAGAGCACACTCTATGAAGTCTGCTCTGTGGTGAGAGTAGGAAACCCAAAGACACGTACAATGCCAATCAAACCCAGCCTCCAAACTCACCTTACTATAGCATTCTTTTTCCAGAAATAAACTTGCAGGTTTAGGGTTTAGGCTACATGTTAGCCTCCTGGGGCTATTGTAACAAATTTTCACAAACTAGGTAGCTTGAAAGAACAGAAATTTATTCTCCCACGGTTCTAGAGGAGAGAAGTCAAAAGTCAAGCTAGCATCAGGGTCAAGTTCCCTCAAAAAGCTCTAAGGATCACTCCTTCCTTGACTCTTCCTGGCTTCTGCTGGCTTTGCAGCAGTCTTCTGCATTCCTTGGCTTATAATCAACCCAGTTTCCACCCCCACTTGCCACATGGCTTACTTTCCTCTGTGTGAGTGTCCCTGTGTCTTTACAGGGTCTTATTACTAGGACACCAGCTGCATTTAGGACCGCCTCTCAAATTACTTCTACAAAGAACCTATTTCCAAATACATCATATTCTGAGGTTCCTGTTGGACATATATGTTGGGGTACACTATTCAGCCAGTAAATGATATATATACTGAAAGTTCATTTTCTTTTGGGTGATATTGTACCTTCTTTACCCATCTCCTCTTGCACACAGTAAGGACAGCCCAGCCAGGAGAGGATTTTCAAATAAACGCAGCTTTTCTGTGAAAAGCTTGAATATTCCCCAGATGCCTGCTGGAGCATATGCAAGAAAGGATAAGTTGGTCATGTTCCTCAAAATGCTGAGATTATTTGGACAGATATACTCACGAATAATCACAACACAATCCGAAGAACCGTGAGGTCATCTACAAGCTTTCCATGACACAAAGCTGAGTAGAGGTTAGCAGTAGGGACCATTGCTTCACGTGGAAGCATAAAGAAAATTCTTCTTTGGAGAAGAGTGTTTGGTACTAAGGTTTGAACTCAGAGCCTTGTGCTTTTTAGGCAGGTGCTGTATGACTTGAGCCATGCCTCCAGCCATTTTGTTCTGGTTATTTTTGAGATTGGGTCTCACTTTCACCACCCCTATTGGGATGATTGGTGTGTAGCTGTGCCCAGCCATTGGTTGAGATGGAGGCTCAAGAACTTTTTGCAGCCAGGCAGCAGTGGCTCACATCTATAATCCTAGCTACTCAGAAAGCAGACATCAGGAGGATCACTGTTTGAAGCCCACCAGAGCAAATAGTTTACAAAAACCTTTCTTGAAAAAAAACATTCACAAAAAAGGACTGGTGGAGTGGCTCAAAGTGCAGAGCCTGAGTTCAAATACCAGTACCACAAAAAAAAAAGAACTTTTTCCTGGGCTAACCGTCAACTACAATCCTCCTGATCTCAGCCTCCCACATAGCTGGAATTGCAGGTGTGAGCCATGGGTATACAACCAAGAAATTTTTTTTTTTAAAAAGAGTCTATAGGGAGAAAGTTAGTCTAGATAGGATGAAAGCAGAAAGCTCTTCTTCCACCAGTCCTATGCTCCCACTTGAGCCAGTGTCTGCCCAAGTCATGTATCTTTAAAGAGTACTGTCAAACTGGGCATCTCCCAGCCTCATATCCCTCTGGATTATTAGACAAATGAATGAATGAACAATTGTGACCTGTCATAAAGACTCGGTCTACATGATTATCAGGCTGACAGGAACCAATCCCTATGAAGATAAGAATAAATTCCACCCATTCAACAAGTTCTGCTGTTCCGTGTCTAGCACAAGGGCCAGGTCTTCCCTTTCCTGGTTCCTTATTTTTGTGGGTGCTGTGTGAAGCATCCTCTGTGGATTATTACTCTTTCCTGCCACAAAGTGGCAGCCTTTGCCTGTTTTGCTCCTTCACAGCCTTAGCACACGGCTTAGGATCCATGGGGCAACTGCCAGTGAAATCCCTGTGTTTTCTAAACTCGGGCTTTACTATCAGTTACTTCCTTTCCTTTGACATCCTCCTGGTCAGCACAGCGCTGGGCATGTGGTCAGCATTCAATAACAAAGAAAGACTCGGTTCTGTATAAGTTCTAGAGATCTGTCACATAACAATATGTGTACAATTAACACTTTGTGAACCACACGCTTAAAAGGGATTCAGATAGCAAATTTTATGTTGCATTTTGCAGCGCAATTAAAAGAAAAAGACATGTCAAGCGTTTCTTACAACAAACCCCACCCCAAGGTAATACTCATATCATGTCCTTATGCCTCACTGTAATAATTTCTATCAATAATAATAATACAAAATTAAAAAACAAAGTAGATTAATACGGGCCAAATCTTTCTGTGTTATAGTTTCTCCAAAAGATTGCCCACTTTCTGGAGGGCTATGTAACCTGTATTTACAGAGCATGACAGCAATAAAAGCACAGAAAATTTGAAGCTATGATCTCAGTCACATAGCAAGTGTAAGCTAGGGCTTGCATAAATATTCAAACCAATGATGTCCTTATCATGGGGTGAGGAGGAGGTCAAGAGTGGACAGGGCTGTCCCAATGGGACACTCTAGCCACAGCTGAGTCTGACCTACAAAAGCAGCCCTCAAATTTGGCCAATGAAGGAAGGATGAAGGCCAGTGGCAGGAAGAACCTACTGCCCAAGAGAGTAGCCTAAAACACACACACAGATACATGGACATGGATCTCAGAAAACTGGAAACCACCTCTACAGGTAGCTGAGCCCAGAGAGGGAATGGA